TCAATCGTGAAATTTCAGCACTAACATTCTTTAAAAAAAGCTCAAACTGGATGACAAAATTGCCCCTGATAATCGAACGACTAGATACTGTCCTGCAACTGCTGGATGCATATGAATCAAATCTGAAACTGCATTCAGGAGATAGTCCGACTGTGGATTTGTAGATTGAATTCAGTGGAAAGCTCCTTGATATGTAAGTTGTGTCCTGGCATTTGTTGAGTTGGCTGCCAAAGCAATGGTGATTGAAGGCTGACCATTGACCAACAGTGGACTGGAGTGGCTCTTAAATGAGGGAAAAAAGCTTGAACATCACGCCACTAGTTCCAGGATACTAGTAAATGTAAATTTATAATATCTCTGTTCTAAACAGGAAACTAGTGACTTCTTGGTCTTTGTGTTAACGGTTAAATATCACCATCCTGTTGTCATTTCCCAATGGGCAGGATTTATCAACCAATTCGATTTTGAAGCATTTACTGCTTTATGATTGATGTGCACCAGAAAGATTATATCATATATGCATCTTACATCACTCATGTGCTGATGCAGCTATTTTTTTCCCTTTTATGGGAGAGCTTAAAATTTTTGAGAACCTAAATGTATCCATATTTGTTGTATTATTTTACTTACTATCAGCTTTTCAATTGGCTATTAAGAATTGTAAGACCCTGAATTCCAATTGGTTGGCATATATGTATCTATTGCTTGAAGAGATGATTTTGTGGAAGTTTTGATCTGGATACTTTTCTGAAAGGGGTAATGAATGTTTCCCCATGTAATAAATGTGAAGTCTAATGACATGGTTGTTCACAATGTAGGACATCCAGAAAGCACCAGATAATCACAAAGGTCCAAAATGGAAGAGGACTGGTGAAAGTGGTGAGGCTCTTGATGACTTCATATCCAGACAGAAGTTTCAGGTTGTTACTCTATATATATCTGCTGTATAGTTTAATCAATTGTATGTCAAGGGTTTTTATATTGCTAAGGCATGATAAGAATAGAGGTTGCACTGTTGCAGTTTAATATTTTACAAGCATGTGTTTGAAATTGTCACACTAGCGCTCTATCTGATTTTCCTAATTATATTCTTTACATGACATAGCTGTATGCATTCATCTTGGCATTCTTGTTACAAAAAGGACAGGTAGAGAAAGTGGTGTTGGTTGTGGAGGCTGTAAGTTCTTGTTCTTCTCCTTAATTGATATCTTTCTTTGTTCTTTCCATTCTGGTTGATCAAGATAAGTAACTACAACCACATGCAATAAGTTTTCAGAATGTTTGAGAGAATCCAAGGTTTACATATTGATACATCATACATGTTTGTGTACTTGTTGATCTGAATTAAGTATGCTAATCAGGTTTACTTGTGCCAGTGAGTGAGATAGATACATATTAGTGAGGTAATTATATTTTATCTCGTCTTTCTGTTTCAGTTTCTCAATGTATGGGTACTCAGAGAATATCTTGAGGAAAGCCTGAGAATACCAGATCCATCCATGAAAGGAGACCTTGAGCGATTGATAGATGATTTTGTTTTCATGTGTCTATTTGTTGGAAATGACTTTCTACCTCATGTGCCGTCGCTGGAGATAGCAGAGGTTAGGATACTATACATACATTTGCTGATTAGTACATCTTCAAAATAATTCATGAAATTTAGGTTATGGTTATGTGACTGACTAGGTACATGGTCACATCCTAACACTTCTTCCGCTCTTCCCACCCAAAAAAAAAAGAAAAAAGAAAAGCAAATTTCACCATGAACTCATGCCAACTTCCGTCAATTGAATGTGCTTAACTTACCTTCTGCTTCATTTTTGTTGTTCCCTCTGAACTTCTTCTCTTCTAGGGGGCCATCGATTTGCTCATGATCGTCTACAAGAATGAATTTGTTCGAATGGGTGGCTATCTTACTGATTCTTTTGAGGTACATGACTAATTTGTGCTACTCTTGCCATTTCATCTACAAATTGTTGCATCCCTGGTTTACCTCCCCTGAAAACATCCATTTTCATTTCATTTAAGCATGTATTAAACAATATTTTATTTACAAATGTGGTTATATTATCCATCTCTGTTGTGTTTATTTTTGGTGACAAACAATTTGGGATTTTTTATGAGTCTTTATTAATTTCATTAAGGAAAAAAACAAGATTTATACAATAAAAAGGTCAAAGAATAAAGCAAATCATTCAAAATCCCATCCATGTTTCTATACAAGTAGAGATCAATGGAGTGCACCAAACAATAATTGAAACAGCATGTTGAATCAATTTTCAAAATCAAACTTTACACTGTCAGTATCCAGTCAATTGCATTCGTTCTGAATAGTCCACCTGAAACTAGGAGTGCCACCTTCCAGGCCTGATTTTGACATGTAAGGATGTGGTCATTTCATGCCAAGCATTATGCACTTTACTCGGTTGTAATTGAATGCTTTGTGAAAGTGCGTGATAGTTCAATACTAAATTTTGTAAGATTTTTTCACTTCCGAGTTGACTAATATTTTAAATTGACTGGCTGTTTGACTAGAACTTCTCTAGTACGAGGAGTGAGGACTGAATATGATTCTCCTTAAGAATTTATTTCAACTACGAAATCTCCACTTCGAAAATAATTATGAAAATAACTAACTGATGGGACATTTACTCTCAAGTCAATTAAAAACTTTATAAATATGAAGACAAAGTGTGCAACTCTGTTGGAGGATTATGAGGACCTACGAAAAGCTTTTTGCTAGAGCTTTTTTAGTTGCAACTACACGGCTCCAAATGCATGTTTTGGCATTCTTAAGCACGTTTTGGAAGTATTCTGATATCGTTTTTTAAACTTTTCTTCCCATCCTTGTATTTATTTATGATCCAGGTCAATCTGGAACGAGTGGAGCACTTTATACGAGCTCTTGGTACCCATGAGAATGCCATCTTTAGGAAACGAAGACAGGTACTGCCCCTGATATTAATGTATCATTTCACTCGAATCTGTTATGCATACTACTATTCATTTGACATCCATTTAGCCCCCGTTTGGCCCCCATTAATTTCAATTCCATTACATTTTATTTTTCTCTCTTTTATTTTCAACCACACAATCTTTCATAAAATAATATTACACAAATCTTTCTTCTTTTTCATCCACTCATTTTTCAGAAAAATACTATTCCACCCATTTTTATTTCCCCAAAATGGGGGCCAAACAAGGGCTTAGATTCCCCCCCCCCCGGGAAAATAATTTTCCTCACATGGTTTTGGAAACTCAATCATGGTTCATGGAGACATTATATTCTTGTTAATATTTAATCAAATGGCTTTAACTAGTTTCGAGCCTTTGTATTTAAGGAGGTCAGTAACTGTGAAAATTGCTTGTTTTTTGCACCCCCTCTTGGTTTCTACATGTATTATCTTTACAAATTTCATTATTCAGGATCAAATGAGATGGAAAATGCACGCAGGACGAGTTCCAGCCAATGGCAATGTAACGTGTTGAACATTTTGACTTCTTTCTTGATATCAAGGATGCATGTAACTGATTCTGAGACTTACTTATCTAATTTTTGAATCAGTCTGGAGGAAAAGAGATTCAGATATTTCTGGGAGATGTAAATGCCAAGGCCAGATTTGTGGAAGACAGGGTTGTCTAATTTCTTTGTATTTGTGCTTCTCGCATTAGATACAACTCAACCTTTTTGTATCTTGGCCGTAGGTTAATGTATTTTCATGTTAGGTCAATCTAGGAGAAGAGGGTTGGAAGGAGAGATACTATACAGAAAAGTTTAAAGCTTTAACTGATGATGACCGTCAGAGAGTTAAAAGACATGCTGTAAGGAAATTTTTTATGATAGGTTAATCCCAGTGAATTTTATTGTTGTTGCTTAATAATATCAATTTTATTTTCATTCGTTATCCAGTTTGACCTTCAACACTTTTGTTTACTTTTATTCTCATCCCTTGCTGGGTGGGGATTAAAACCATATATTTAACAGATTTTGATTTTGATAAAATTTGAAAAATGTGGTTGAAAAGTTGTGGGTTCCATGAAATGTGTAGTTAAAATTAATTGTTGAACTTTGACTTAAAAATTAAATCTAGATTCTAATCCTTATCAAACAGGGGCTTAATGTTTAAGTCATAACATTTTTGTACCAACTGTTTCCCCGTTTTTATCTTTGTAATTTTCTTTTCTTGCCTGTGGATACTTAATCTGGCAGACTGATTCCTGTCAATTTGTTTATGTTCTTATTTAGTTTTCTGTATGTTGCATTTGTTAACTTTCTTTTATTTGTCATAGGTCTTGAAATATGTTGAAGGGATTTGTTGGTTCATGCATTATTACTACCAAGGAGTGTGCTCCTGGCAATGGTTCTGCTCTTCTGCTGCTTGTTTATCTATATTTTTGCTATCTGCATATTTCTTATTTGCAACCTATGGTAGTTTATAAAACTGTGAGTAATTTTTTGATACCGCATTGGTGGTGCCATAATACTAGCAGTAACCTCTGATTCTCCACACTAACTTATTCTTTGACAATGATGGCAATATGTTATTTAACTTGGAAAATGAGAATAATAATGGAAAGAAAATAACGTGAAGATACAACATGGTTTGGCCATTCTGTATATAACCACCGACTCAATGGACAATGGGATTAGAGGCTAGAGACTTTTCTTTTTTCCCCTATATTAGAGCTAAATCACCTCTGTTTATGGGTGTGATAATAAAATGTTTGAAAATATAAAATGAAGTCTTCAATGAAAAATAATTAAATCAAATCTAAGTTTTGGGATCCCATTGATGGTGCTATAATCTTATAACCACAATATCTGTCATCTTTGAGTTCAACTATGAGTAATGATAATTGTTTGAATCATTTTAAAGAACTGATTTCCAGTCAAGCAAATTGAAAATTTTTAGTGGAGATGGGAGGCCTGAAATCGCATTTCTGAAAGCTAACTTTTATTGTAGTTATATATAAAATGTCTAATTTGATTTTATCTTGATCGTGCACATTTGCATCCCATTGGAAAGATGCAGCATTCACAACATCGGGCGAGATGCTTGCGAGGAAATGGAAAATCCGTTGTGAGGGTGAAGATCTTATTGACTTGTTCCTCCTACCTGAATTTACATACAAGGAGGATGCTGATGTACAAAAACGATCTCTTTTTACGGGATCAAAGAAACTTTGAAATAGCTGGTGTTTCGTACCCATCTTATCCAAATTTATAATCCTTGCCCACCAGAAAACCCGCATGCACTTCCTGAACCCTGACCTACAAGCTGTAGAAACCACCCTTATCTTTCCTCTTTGTTATCCCATTGTTGCTGTTGACTTGTATTGTACATCATGGAGACAACGAAATGATACGAAAAGTTGGGCTAGGATCCGTGTTGCATTATAAATAGGCCAAGGTTTTTGGTAACTTTTAGAAGAGAAGTTATCAAGTATGTAGGCTTTGTTTCTGACAAATGACTGGGATGTCAGGGCTGTAAAGGCTGGCAAATAATTCAGGCCTCCGCTANTTTCTAATTGCCTGGCTCAGCTAGATTTGCCTTCGATGAGCTTAAGTGCTTGTTTGGGAGAGCTTAAATTATAATCACTTTTGATCAAACATACCTTCTAATCACTCGTCTTAGGACCGACAATTACTATTCATTTTTTATCTACATGTTATGGGGACTCGCTGCTTGAATTATATTTAGCCCATGTTTGAGCCCCATTTTTGGGCCAAAATACATTTTAGAATAGCGTTTTGTTGGAGAAAGTGTAGTTGAAAGATAAGGAAATGTTTTGGGTTTATGTGTAAAATTATTTTATGGGAGAATGTGTGGTTGAAAATGAGTTTTTGAAAAAAGTTACTTTTTGAGAAAATGGGGGCCAAATATAGGCTTAAACTCTCCTAAACAAGTGCTAAATTATGGGTTAGTGGCAAATAGTCCACCGCGGTGACTGAAATTCTTCTTGATGCCTTTTTTTTTTTTTTTTTTTTAAATAATAATAGCCAGTACTCTGTGATTTTCAATACCGTCTTTGGGGTTTCTGGAAGTCATTATGTTAATGAAAAATGTCGTGGCGACATTGCTAATAAATTAGTCAGTTCTTTGTCTAACTCTATTCCTTTTGTCTGTGTGAATTCCGGGACAAAAAGAAACTGCATAGCTTCAATAGATAATTTTTATTTTTTATTATTATTATTTTTTAAAATTTTAAAATTACTCGAGGTAATTTGAAGAGCATTTTGAACCAAGTGATGTTTCTAGAGTAGGGTTATTAGGGTATCCTACAACCAGGTGGGTTGGGGTTCTATCAATTTGTTTTGCATACATTAGGGGGTAATTTGTATTTCAACATTAAATGTTTACAATATTATTTTTCCATATTTCCAGACTGTTTATTTATTTCCACAATGTCGTGATTGCAGTGATTGCTACCTAAGTTGATGATCAACTTCATGCTTTAGTCGGGACACAATGCACTGTTTCACAATATAATTTCTTAAAATAGATGTGTATATTTGTTTACATATCATTTTGTTAATTCAGCATCCTTTGATAACATTTTAGGTATTGTCTTTTCATCTTTATTCCATCTAACAATTCTCCACTAATATTGGTTGGTCAAACGAAGTGTGATCTCAAGTTGTACTTAGATTTCTTGTTTGCTACAATTTTGCAACTAGCTGTAATTTCTTCTCCCGGTTGTCGATGCAAATTGTATGTTGCCTTCATACATGCCTTTTTCTCACTGTTCTGCTTATAGACTTCCAAGTCCAATCAACTTCTGTTGCTTGGTTGCAGTCAGCTTTCTGCTTGTCTAGGTTAAAAAGCAATATAATTTTTTCCAAATTTGTAGAATGTTTTAATAATTTTCTAAGTATTTGTTTGATAACCTTTATTACATTCCATTGTGATTCTGAAACCCTCTTATTCCGAAACCACCTTAATCATCTGAATATGAGACTGCTGTTGGTGATGAATATTTACTGATTGGCTTGGATTTGTACCAAGAGCCTGCATGACCATTGTCTAATAGTAATACATGTGCTATTTCAGGAACGGGCACACCTAGATTCGGTCCTTCACCGTTGTAGATGGTACATAAGCTTTTTGATGGATATACAGTCCACAAATTTTTAGTACAATAATATATATCTCCATTGAAACTGCACAACACAAGGCCATGTTACAGATAGGTTAGGGGGACACAGAAATAATAATTAAGAAAATCAATTTCTTCATTTATGGGTCTTCAACATGATGGGATGAATTAATTAGATTCAACTTGTGAATTGTAAAGCTGAACCAATCTTACCATGCTTTCTTTCAATCGTTACTTTTGTATGCTATTGCTACAACAGGTTGACTTAAGTATGTTCTCTTCCTAATTGCCAGGCTGTTTGTAGATTACCATTTATCGATGAATGTCGCCTTCTTTCTGAGATTGCAAAAGTGGAACATACATTGACGGTAACACCTAAGTCACAATGACTAATGCAGATAATGCAATTCCTGTTAACCTAGTTCCTGTTTGGAGAATTATTTTCTCTGCATTTGCATTTCTGCTTTATGCTTCTGCGAGATATTTATTTTCTGAATTGTATCGTTGTAATTTAGGATGAAGAAAAGCGGAGAAACAGTTTGGGTATGGATAAACTGTATATTCATGTCTCCCATCCTTTAGCCTCAAAGATCTTGGCCTTCTATGAACGGAATAAAGACAATCTAAAGTTGTCTAAAGCTAAAGTAAAGAGGAAAATCGACCCTAAATTAAGGTAAGATATCCTAACATTAATAAATTTCATATCTTTATTGGTATTTGTATAACACCCTTCATCCTTTCTGCAAGGGTTGGAAAAAGTAAAGTGAACTCTTGAACTTTAATATATAGATCCATGTCACCATCTGCCTCTTTCTTTAAATGTCCTTGCACAGATGTGAACTGAAACTTTTTTCTACTCACCAGCAGACGCTGCCACTTGGTGCTCTTGTGATATGGGATTCATAATTCAGCACATATGTTCTAATACATCATATATGAAGTTTCTTTTTTATTTTATTATTATTATTATTTTTTATTTTTTATTGTGATATATAACCATAGGAGAAATGAGTAATTTTATCTGTCACGCGTGCCATAATTTTCATGTCNAATATCTCCAATCCATAATGTAACGCTGTAGAAAACTGATATTCTTATTTATGTTAACATTATAGGATAAATAGCCTCAGGACGCACATTCCCTTTTATACGGCATTCATCGTACGCCTTAAAAAAATTGAGTATTTACGGCATGGCTTTATTATGGCGTTCACGTGTATGCTGTAAAGAACTTTTTACGGCATGCATTGTATGCCATAAAAAGCAAATTCTGTTGTAGTGCTAGTTCTTGTTTGGAGAATTATTTTCTCTGCATTTTCATTTTTGCTTTATGCTTCTGCGAGATATTTATTTTCTGAATTGTATCGTTGTAATTTAGGATGAAGAAAAGCGGAGAAACAGTTTGGGTATGGATAAACTGCATGTTCATTTCTCGCATCCTTTAGCGACAAAGATCTTGGCCTTCTATGAACGGAATAAAGACAATCTAAAGTTGTCTAAAGCTAAAGTAAAGAGGAAAATCGACCCTAAATTAAGGCAGGATATCCTAACATTAATAAATTGCATATCTTTATTGGTATTTGTATAACACCCTTCATGCTTTCTGTAAGGGTTGGAGAAAGTAAAGTGAACACTTGAACTTTAATATATAGATCCATGTCACCATTTGCCTCTTTCTTTAAATGTCCTTGCACAGATGTGAATTGAAACTTTTTTCTACTCACCAACGAACGTTGCCAATTGGTGCTCTTGTGATATGGGATTCATAATTTAGTACATATGTTCTAATACGTCATATATGAAAGCTTTTTTTTTATTGTGATATATAACCATAGGAGAAATGAGTAATTTTATCTGTCACGCGTGCCATAATTTTCATGTCAATATTATCAATTATCAACTGTCCATGTTTTAGCTAACTGATGTTGCCATGCGTGGTGGAATGAATTAATATGTGTATCTTTCCGATAAGCCCATTTGTCCGGCAATGATTTCTTCACCTAGTTGTGACATGGAGATGATCATGGAGAACAAAGTTATGTATGTAATTTGGTATTTAGTGTAGTTTACTTTTACGACAAAGTCTCAACAATAGTTCAAAGCTGTGTATTATATCCTGAAGGTTTTTATTTTTTTATTTTCCTTCATTTCAGATCCGTCTTCTATAAATTTCCTCCTTTTCATCGTCACATGCCTAAACCACTTGATGGAGTCATAATGCCTGGAAAGGTAAACCATGTTTATTGCTTTACCATATTTTGCTTCTACATTTAGTAGCAAGAAATTTCAAGCCAAAAGAAAAAATAAATAAATTAGAATATATAAAAAGTACTGTTTTAAGGCAAGAAGAGTTTAGATGATAATTATTTCCTATTTTTCTCCTGGTCGTGACAAACTGAGCTAACATCCATGGTGCAGGAAATAACGTCTGTTATACACGATCCCATAAGGAAAAGAAATCATTTCGTATTCTTACACTGTTACCCATGAATACTCTTTTTTCATCAAGATAAAAAGGTAATGACAGATAATTGTAACTTCTCACAAATAAATGCACGTAAACAAAGAGATCTTGACTCTACTCATTCGTTTGCTCTGTGGATGGCTGCAAGAATTTGTTGAAACTCATCAATCCTTGATGAACACTGAACATTTAAAATCTATCACACAACAAATTCGTGGATGTGGATGGATCTTTAAGTATAGCAGTTTTAGTCACTGCCACTACCTTTTAGGACTGATGCTTAGTTATTTAACTATTTCTATCATAAGAAAGTTTAAGAGTTGGGATGCTATTAAAATTTTATGAAGTAAAGATTTTACAATTTTTTGGGATCAGCCTCTTAGCATTTATATACGCACTACACATTGAGGGGTTCGATAGTGTAAAATAAGGAAAGAGGGCAAATACATGCCAGCTTAAGAGCATTCCAAAAGACCCATTAGCAAGAAAGATGCTCTTTATTTTAAAGAGTCAAACCTTAAAATTAGGCTCCAAAAAACTCTCTTTAAAACAGGAAGTGGGTTGGCTTAGTATATTTGGAGAGCCAAACCCACTTTCTATTTGTATTTTATCAAGATTATATACATTAATTGAAGAATGAGGGAGAAATAAGGAATATTGAGAAAAGCAAAATTAAAGAGTTTGTTGGAGTGTGTAAACAATTTGTTACAAATTTAAAGATGCTCTCTAAAAATAAAGAGTGGAGATGCTCTAATTGGTTAAAATATTGTTTGGAAAAGGCAAATGTCTAATTCAATAACATTCAAAACTTTGAAATTTGTATCTGAAAACTGCATTTTATCTCTTATGTGTCCCATGTTTGAAATTTACGCTCACTTCAGTTCTGCATTCAAATCTTTATGTCTTGCATAACATACATCTCCTCTATTTTATTTTATTTTATTTTTTTGACAGTTCGTCGGCAGGCACAACATTTTACCTCCACCCATCCTGTGGCATGAGAAAACAATGGTTCAGAGCAGATTCTCAAGAAGGTGATAGTTTTACTTTGTGCTTTATGAGTGTGTGCCCATGGAAACGCAATCACAAGAGAGATTAGTGAGGGGCAAGGTATTATATGCTTGCTAAAAACAATCTTTCAAGAGAGAGTAAATAAGTAGTGGTGTGGGATGTTTATAAGTTACTAATGAAAATTCTCTGATGGTCTTATTGATCTAGATGGTTAACAACCTGATTGGGCCGTTCTAATTAGTTAGTTTTAAGAGGAGATTGTAAACCATAACTAAAATAGGTATCTTTAGGCAATGCAAGCTCATTTTTGCAATTAATATCCATAACCCTAAACGGAATAAATTTCGTTGCTTAGTGCATGTTTGGCTCCTATATAATTTATAAACATAATTGGTTAAACTTATTTTTTATTCACATTTCGTGGGACCCTAAAGTACTACTTATATCTATTTATAATTTAGACCAATATAAATCACTATCCAATATGCATTAAGTAAATTTGTCATGAAGAATCTTGTTAGGAGCATCGACTTGTATATGCAATATCATTTCGTTATTCCCATATATTGCCTAAAAAGTGCATCTGTTTTGAGTTTCCATTTGGAAATTGCAGAGATTATATCTGTGTTAGTTTAGAGAATAGTAGACTGATACTTTTTGGTATTCGATACATTCACAACTCAGTGAGAATTGGACATATATTTGGAAGTTTCGCCGACTAGCTTATATTCCTATGTTTTTATTTTTGTTTATAAATAATTCCTTGCAATCTCTGATATTTCTTCAAATTTATATAGGCCCATTCCACCCACGTCTGTTTCAGGACCTTGTATGGCAATAATGGCCCATCAGCTCGTATCAGGAAACTATGTCAGCAAGCAGTGTGAAGATATAGATGGCAAAGGTGGAGATAACGGCAAACTTGGGAAAAGGAAATGTCATGCTCCCGATGAAAACAAAAAGAAGAAGAAGCATCAACATCATAATAAAAGGAGAAAATTGAACAGATCCTAGTGTTGCAGAATCATTTTCGAACTTCTGATGCATGTAGTGAATGGTTCTGCACCAAATGCTTGGAAGTATGGCTTTGTCTCTATCTAGGTTGGTCATTTCACAAGATTCCCGAGGCATGGTGGAAGGGAAAATGGATATTGTGCAGCTGCCCAACCATCGACCAAGCATAACCAGATGGTTTGGCTTTCGATTCGACATGCCCTCATAGCTATTTTTGCTTGGTTGCGATTGAATTGAAGATGGTATATATGGTATATATGTAATCCTTTTGTTGTACTTTGGTTGTAAACAGATCGAGGCTTTCTAATGCCTGGGATTCAGTTATTTTATTTTGTTTTTTTCTAAAACAAATGTTAAAAGAGCATAATTACGATTTTATATTTGTTCAATTCAGCAATGAAAAGCAAAATATTGCAATCTGTAGGGAATAAAACACTCCCAAGATTGCCCAAGAAAGATAACTTTCATGGTCGCCTAGGTGCCAAGTTTCTGACCCATTCTTGCACTGGCCAGCGCCTAGGCGCCTTGCTTCTTCTCCATTTCTCACAATTCTCCACCTCGTACATCATTTGATAGACTTCAAATTTTGGACGAACACGAGAAGAAGCAGTAAGCGCCAAACTCGGCTGCACCACTCAAACCATGGTTGCCTACGTACCCAAAACTCGGGATCAAGCCTCCGTAATTCACCTCCACCTTCATATACTCTTCACCTCATTTCAACCCCGCCCCGAAGGGTCATGCCCACTCGGGCATATCAATACGGACTAATGTGAAGCAAGTCCAAGCAATGCTGAAACTTGCTACCTGTTACCACTTTGGTTAACATGTCTGCTGGGTTCTCATTTGTGTGTACCTTCAAAAGAGAAATATCACCTTCCTCTATGATATCACGCACAAAGTGATACCTGACATCGTAGTGCTTGGTTTGAGCATGATGAACCTGATTCTTAGCCAAGTGAATCGCACTCTGGCTATCACACCACAAGTCCACACAATCCTGCTCAATCCCCAAATCATCTAGAAGACCCCACAACCACAATGCTTCCTTCACTCCCTTTGCCATGGCCATATACTCGGCCTTTGTAGTAGAAAGAGCCACTGTAGCCTGTAACATCGATCGCCAACTAACTGGGGCACCATGTATGCAAAATACATAGCCAGTAGTAGATCGTCGTCTGTCTAGATCACCTGCATAATTCGAGTCCATAAACCCACTTATATGACATGCATCTCCACCAAAACATAAACCTGTACCCGCGGTACCTTTTAAGTACC